GTGTGTGTGTATATATATACACACAGATATATATCAGTCACATGTGCTGGGGAAGGCAGGTGACAAGAAGGGCAATAAATTTCACAGCATTTCCTTCTCAAACTTGATTTTACAATAAATGAAAGGAAAGCCTGAAGGAATACAGAGAACACCACTGCTGCCCTTTGAATATGTGCTTATTGGTGACACAGGAAGAATCAAGTTAATGCTAACAACTCTCTGGAAGCAGTAATTATTGATTACAATATCTTTAACTGATCTGTGCTCAAAGACGTAAATATATAGAAGTATCACTTTTAAAGGAAATCCTGTATTAAGTTTCTCAGAAAACTAGGTCCAGGCTAATGGAGTAGAACATATTATTATTATTTTGAAATTGCAGGATTTCTGGTGCCAGCCAAAAGTGGAATATGCTCATTGCAGTCTCTCACACTACTTAAAATGAAAAACCTTGTAAAAAATACGAAAATCAAATAAATACATGAGGACTCTGAAAAGCAAATGAGAACAATGCAGATTGAGGAGGAAAGGCCCAACATGTGGATATGACCCATATGGTGGTGAATTTCTCAATTTGTTTCATTTTTTGTCTTTGTTTTAAAATAACTTTTAATTGGGAGTGATCCCTACATTATGGTGCCCAGTGATGGCAGTGCTGGGAAACTTGAACAGAAACACTGGGAATTCAGGCCTCTATGGTTTCAAGAGAAAAGAAAAAATCCTGCAGTTTTTTTTTGTCTCTTTTCTAATTTTGTCCTGAGTGTGAGTCCAGTACATACATATAGTACGTATGTGTGTACATATGTGTATAAGTATGTGTATCTGTGTGTAGAGTGTGACAGTTATGCAGGCATTCAAGACTTTAAGCAGTTGTGAAAACTGTATTCCATGAGGTAAAGGTAAACATACTTGAAATAAATGAAAATAGAGACGTTCTCAAAAGAGAAATGAAAATTACAAAAAATAACCAAATAGAAATGCTAGAACAGAAAAATTTAATAGAAATTATCTAGTCTGAAGAATAAAGAGTGAAAAAGGGGAAAAAAAGACTATCAGAGCTTTGTAGGCCATGATTAAAAAGCTTATCACTGGAATCCCAGGAGGGGAGAAAGAGATTGGTGCAGAAAGACTATTAAAGAAATAATGGCTAAAGGTTTTCTAATTTGGTGAACAAAACCAAATCAAACAAACAAACAAAACCCCTAAAATTCAGTCAAGAAGCTCAGAGAATCCCAAACAGGATAAATTCAAAGAAACCAAGCCCAGACACATAATAATCCAACTATAGAAAATTAAAGATAAATTTTAAAAAACTGAAAGCCGCTAGAGAAAACACACTACCTCATGGAAACAATGACTGTAACATGGAACAACATCTCTAAAGTGCTGGAAGACAAGAAGACACAAACATATGGAAAAATATCCCATGCTCATGGATAGGAAGAATCAACATTGGTTTTTTTTTTTTTTTTTTTTTGAGTTGGAGTCTTACTCTGTTACCCAGACTGGAGTGCAGTGGCTGCTCCCGGCCACCACAGCCTCGACCTGCTGGGCTCCAGCGATCCTTCTGCCTCAGCCTTCCAAGTAGCTGGAACTACAGGTGTGTGCTACCACGCCCAGCTGATTTTTGATTTTTATCGTAGAGATGAGATCTTGCCAAGTTACCCAGGCGACTCTTGAACCTGTGGGCTCAGGCAATTCACTCACCTCAGCCTCCCAAGGTGCAGGATTACAGGCTGAGCCATCCAGCCCAGCTAGGAATCAACATTGTTAAGATGTCCATCCTACCAAAGGCAATCTACAGATTCAACGCAATACCCATTAAGTTACCAACATCATTCTTCTTAGACCTGGAAATGACAATATAGAAATTTATATGGAAACATAAATGACCACGAATAGCCAAAATAATCCTTAGCAAAAGAAACAAAGCAGGAGGTATCACACTTCCGAACTTCAAACTTTAATAAGGCTACAGTAATAAAAACAGCCTGGTATTGGTACAAGAACAGGAACATAAACCAATGGAACAGGAAAGAGATTCTGGAGGCAAAGTCTCAATTCCGCAACCAACTCATCTTTGACAAAGCCTCCAATAACAACCACTGGGGAGAGGTGAGCCTATTCAGTAAGTGGTGCTGGAAAAACTGGCTGAACACATGCAGAAGATTGAAACAGGACCCCTACCTATCACCATACACAAGAATTAACTTTAAATGGATCAAAGACCTAAACATAAAACCTCAAACTGTAAGAACCTTAGAAAATGCAGGAAACACTCTTATGGAAGTAAGAACTGGCAACCAATTCCTGATCAAAACCCAAAGTACCCAGGCCATAAGAGGTAAGCTAGACAAGTGGGACCTCAGTAAACTGACAAGCTTCTGCAAAGTCAAAGAAACCATCAAGAGAGCAGGGAGACAGCCCACAGAATGGGAAAAAATATTTGCCAACTGTATATCTGACAAAGGCCTAACATCTAGGATCTACAAGGAACTTAAATGCGCCAAAAGGAAAAAAACAAACAGCCCCTTTAAAAAGCAGGCAAAAGACATGAATAGACACTTCTCAAAAGAAGATACACGGGCAGCCAACAGACACATGAAAAAGTGCTCAGCCTCACTCATCATCAGAGAAATGCAAATCAAAATCACACTGAGATACTACCTAACACCTGTAAGAATGGCCATCATTAATAAAACAAACAACAACAGATGCTGGAGAGGATGTGGAGAAAAAGGAACACTTCTACACTGCTGATGGGAACGCAGACTAATACAACCTCTTTGGAAGACAGTGTAGTGATTTCTGAAGGAACTAGAAATTGACCTTCCATATGATCCAGCAATTCCCCTATTAGGAAGATACCCAGAGGAACTCAAATCATTCTACAAAAAAGATACCTGCACATGTATGTTTGTTGAATCTCTATTCACAACAGCAAAAACATGGAACCAACTGTGTTACCCATCAAAGCTGGACTGGATAAAAAAATGTGGTACATATACACAATGGAATATTATGCAGCCACAAAGAAGGACAAATATATGGACTTTGCAGCAAATTGGCTGGATTTGGAGTTGATCATACTCAGTGATTTATCACAGAAACAAAGAACTGAGTTTCATATGTTCTCACTCATAAGGCGACCTTGAACAATTATAATACTGTGGGAAGGCGATTGGCAGTAGTGGGAAAGTGTCAGGGGAAGGGGGGGTGGGACTGGCAGTTGGGGGAAGCTGCTAGGGGAGGGGGGCACATGCCTCATCAACAAGGGTACCTGCATGATCAATGTTTGTATATCTAGCCCTAAACGGTCTCCATATCTTTATAATAAATAAATTAATTAAAAAAATAATAAAGTGCTGGAAGAAATGTCAACTCAGAATTTTATATCCAGCAAAAATATCCTTGGGGAATGAGAAAAAAAGAACACATAGATGAAGGAAAACTAAGAGAATTTGTTGCTAGCAGCTTTGTTCTAAAATAAAATGCAAAAGAAAGTCCTTGATGCTTGGGGAGGAAAGGCCCAACATGTGGATATGACCTATGTGGTGGTGAATCTCTCAGTTTGTTTTCTGTCTTTTTTTCTTATAACTTTTAATTGGGAGTGACCCCTACATTATAGTGCCCAGTGATGGCAAAAACATACCTGAAACTTGAACAGACACACTGAGAATTAAGGCATCTATGTTTTCAAGAGTAAAGGAAAAATGCTGAAGGAAAATGTACTAGGGTGAAACTTGAAACTTGAATGAAGGAAAAGCAAAAGACATGGTAATATAAAAGACTACTTTTTCCTGCTTCAATTCTTTAAAATATGTAAGATTACTGAAGCAAAGATCAAAATCTCATCTGGTATAGTCTTCAGTACATAGATGTAATATATACGATAATTGTAACATAAATGGAGGACAGTAAAATATGATTGTAAGGCTCCTGCATTTTCCTTGAAGTGATGAAATATTACCTTCAAGTAGACTGTGAAAGATTAGGTATGCATACTGGAAATCCCAGAGCAACCACTAAAATATACTACAAAGAAATATAACCAAAAAGGAAATAGATAAATAGAATATGAAAAATATTCTAAATTGCAGCTAGAGCTGAATCTACTACTAATAAAGAAGTAATCAACTTAAAGCATAGTTCTCTGTATCTAAACAGTTTTCCTTAAACCATTCTATATGAGTGATACTAGTTTTTCTAAATTGCTTCACTAGTAGAAGTCATAGTTCTTACTTAACTCATTTAAGTGTTTCACAGCCTTCCATGTCACAAAGACCTATATTCTGATAAGCCTTAATAATTAATTATAATAAATATGGCTATTAAATGAAGTAAGGTGCCTAAAGGCAGGAACTGAGTCTTACTTATTACTGGTTCCTCAGGATCTTGAACATGCCTGATATACAGCAGGTGTTCAAATTGAATGAATGAATGAATGAGTGACTATTCCCAAAGATTGAATGTAGAATAGAAAGCACAACAGAGATAAGAGATTCTTTCTAAAGTAATAAGTCAAGCTGATTGTATAAGACAGGAAAAAGATGTGATTTTTAAAAAAATCACATTATTAATTTAGTCACCTTGAGATAAAACACCATATTCCAACAATGCTCAAAAGATTTGTAGTATTTGCTTTCAGGGTCTTCATTACAGTCTCCTGAACATGTCAAATGAAACCAAACGTTCATAATTTAATGTCAAAAATATTTTCATCTTTCCAGAATCATCCAGAGCCATGCTTATAATGGAAACCATCAACTAGCTCTTACAATTTTTTGGGCCCTTGTGAATTCTAGATCTCAAAATCTCTGATATGACCGGGGCCTTAGAGAGCCCCTGTTTGTGAATTATTTTTTAATATTCTTACAAATTAATAAGTAAAATAAAATTTTCATTGATAAATGAGTTAAATGAAACCTCTGACATATATTCATTTTATATTCACATAAGAACTAGGAGTTGGACAGCGGTGAGGTGTGCCATGCAGGAGCGGGGAACAAAGGAGCAGAGAGGGGTGGGGAGCGAGTCGGGCGAGGGAGAGCCCCCGCTGGCTGCCAGAAGATCCCGGCAGGAGGAAGCCCAAGTGTCACTTGAATTCCACCCAAGGAGCGGGCGCCTGGGATCCGAGCGCCTTGTTTAGCATTAACGGCTGGAGCACGTCCTACAAGTTACGGGAGAGTCGGCCGAGAAGGAGGCGATCGCTTGCCCCCCGGGTCCCCGCCGCTGGCCCCTCGAGAGCCCAGCATCGCCCCGCTCTGGGAAGGGAGTTCCAGAATGAAAGGCAAGAAAGGTGTTGTTGCAGCATCTGGCAGTGAGACTGAGGATGAGGACAGCATGGACATTCCCCTGGACCTCTCTTCATCGGCTGGTTCAGTCAAGAGACGGAGAAGGGGCAACCTGCCCAAGGAATCCGTATAGATTCTCCGCGATTGGCTATATGAGCACGGATACAATGCCTATCCCTCAGAGCAGGAAAAAGCCTTGCTGTCCCAGCAAACACACCTGTCTACACTACAGGTCTGTAACTGGTTCATCAACGCCCGCCGCAGGCTCCTCCCTGACATGCTGAGAAAGGATGGCAAAGATCCAAAAATCAGTTCACAATTTTCCGCCGTGGGGCCAAGATTTCTGAAACCAGCTCTGCTCTCAGTCATGGGCATCAAAAACTTCATGCCAGTGCTAGAGGAGACCCCGTTTCATTCCTGTACAGCTGGGCCAAACCCAATCCTAGGGACGCCACTGTCTCCTAAGCCATCATCTCCAGGGTCGGTTTTTGCTCGTCAATCAGTGATCTGCCATACCACTGTGACTGCACTGAAAGATGTCCCGTTCTCCCTCTGCCAATCGGTTGGTGTGGGACAAAACACAGATATACAGCAGATAGCGGCCAGCAGCTTTACAGACACCTCGCTCATGTACCCAGAGGACACGTGTAAATCTGGACCAAGTACTTGTTGATATCGATTATAATTATCACATTTTACAAATAAGGAAACAAACCCAAAGAAGCTAATTGCTTGGTTATTATTAACCACTTTGTTAAATAACAGCAGGACCAGTAATAAAATCCCAGGTTTTCTGCTTCCTAGTTAAGTGATCTTTCTACTATATGATAGTGACAGCTAAAACAGTACCAGCAAACACATAGGAGGGCTTACTATTTGCTAGGCTCAGTGCTAAGTACTTTGGAATTCTTCATGAATTATCTCTTCATTTTCACAATTGCCTGGTGAGATAGGTATGCATCTTGTGACAGGGTTAGAACTTGAACCTAGGTTTTTCATACTACCAAGGGAGGCTGTACTGCATAATCACAGCATGAAAACATTTAACGTACACATTCACCAGTTAAAATTCAGGAAAAGTTAGCATGGTCTGAAATGGGACAGTGGAGGCTGACTGAAAGAGCCTGATTCGCATCTTTCTCTACAGGGATCCGTAGAAGTTGCGAGGCCAGACTCAGGAATCCAACAAATCTTGAATTATAGCTCTATTTATTGCTAGGTCTGTGACCTTGGGCAAGTTACTTAACTCCTCTAAGCTTTAGTTTCCTAATTTTGTCATCTATAAGATAGAATATAACATTTCCCATAGAGTTGTCATTAAAGCAGTTAGTACAATACCTGGCACAGAGTGAATACTCAATAAATACTAGTTGCATTTTATTCTTTGCCATATTTTAACTATTTGCCTTTTTGGCATTCTGAAAAATGGCCTTAGATCACTAAATTCATTTTTTTTTTTTTTGAGTCAGGGTTTCACTGTTGCCCAGACCAGAGTGCAAATGGCATTATCACAGCTCACCAGAGTCTCCTGGGCTTAGGTGATCATTTCCCTTAAGCCTCTTGAGTAGCTGGGACTACCTGCACATACCACCATGACTGGCTAACTTTTTTTTTTTTTTAGAGACGAGGTCTCACTATGCTGCCTAGGCTAGTCTTGAACTCCTGGGCTCAAATGATTCTTGAGTCTCGGCCTCCCAAAGTACTGGATTATAGGCATGAGCCACTGTGTCCAGACTCTAGATTCATTTTTTAGAAAAATGTGATCATGCACATTGATAACTATTGTGTATCATTAACCAAGAGTTATTCTATTGAGATAAAGTAAGTGTCCAAGATGATGCACTATGTGTAAGAAAAGGCATCCACAAGAATATTATTCAGAAGATGCTTCTTAGAAGGTATGTGAGCCTTTTCCTTCCCACATTTGGCTCATGACCACCACTTCATCTACTGCAACTGAATTCCATGTTCGTTTATTTGATTATTTATTTTTCTGAAAAATATGGAATGCTTCATGAATTTGAGTGGCATCTTTGTTCAGGACCATGCTAATCTTCTTTGTATCATTCCAATTTTTGTATATGTGCTGCCAAAGTGAGTACCCCATGTTGGTTCACATGCAAGGTTCTTCCCCCTTACACAAGAAGTACTTTATTATTTCAACCTAGGAACTGATTATAATTTAAATGCGTATCTTTGCTATGAGCCCTGATAACTTTGCTTAACACAGGCTTAGATGAAAAATGTATAAATGTATAAATCCATAAAATGGATTGAAGCTGGTCTACTCTTACAACTTAGGAAAATGGAAGCAAGCCCATCACTGGAAGTTCTCCTTTATTACTGTGGGTAAAATGGGTCTCCTTAATGCCAAGAATGAACCAGCCTGACTTCCAGATTAGACAAATTCTCCAATGCCTCACTGCTGGCTTCCACTTACTAGATGGGGGCCACCTGATACCAACAAAATGCCTGAACTACATCTAAGCTTGCTAGGGCCCTTTTTGAATACTGAGTATTAGGTGACACAGCTACCCTCTCCAGTCTTTTTTGGACAAATCTCCAAATCTATATTAATTCAGGAAACTGTTTGACCCCATTGGCCCTTGTTATTTAACAGCTCATATGCCTTAAATCTGAACCCTTTTTCATTTTCCTAGTCTCAACAGGCAACAAGGTTCAGAAATTCCATATAAGTGTTACAATATAGAATGTTATCTGGTAATAAGGAAGGTCTTGGTAGGGTAGCAAGAGCCAGTTAGCCAACACCATTAATAATGTTCTTGTTGTAGATGTATATAAATCTTTAAATTATCTTACCTTATTAATAAACCCTCTCAATTACGTTTATTAATATATTGTTGTAGCAAGATGACTGGATCAAAAAGAATACCAAAACAAACTTCATCTTCTAAGTCTTTAAAAAAAAAACTAGATGTATTAACATGGAAAGCATTCCCATGGGCCAAAAATATGAAAACAAAATCTATGCTTCCCAAACACTGGACATTGTTAAGCATCTCTATAGTCAAGAAAGAGTCCCTGTTTCATCCAGCTCCTAAAAAAATAATAATAAAAAAAAGAATATGCAGAGGCACAGTAATAACACTAAGGCTAAACCTTGATACTTTTTTTTTTTTTTTTTGAGTCGGAGTCTCACTCAGTCACCCAGACTGTGCTACCATGCCCGGCTGATTTTTTGATTTATTGTAGAGATGAGGTCTCACTGCCCAGGTGGGTCTTGAACCCGCGGGCTCAGGCATTTCAAACATTTACTTAAACATGATTCAGCTGTGGAACACGACCTTTACATATTCTGTAGAGAAAAGAAGCCTTGTCTTATCTCTGCCAGCTATTTTCTGTTTGATCATTCTTGAAACTATGGGAATAAAACTTGTAGTAGTAATTATTAGTACTCCAGTAAGTTTGGAGGTTCTTACCTGTACATTTGTAATCAGAGGCTACCCCTTTAAGCACAGCATCAAAAATGGATATTTCCACTCGCTGCTTTCTGTGGTGACAGCTCAGAAACAAGGAAGGTTGGGACACAATAAAGTACAGAAAAGGTTCTAGCTGTAAGTCACCGGTTCCTCTGCGACCAGGCTGCCGCACAATGGTTATACCAAGTGCTTGTCTAGCTGATGACCTTGTGGATGCGTGAAGACTTTCAAGAGAGAGGACCCCTATTTTCTTCCCCGAAGGAAAAGAAATGCGGCTGCTTAAGAGATCTTCTGCTGTCATCGTGGAAATACATGCCTGGTTGGGCTTAGCAACATCTGAATCAGTTTCTGGGAGATTTAATGAACTCTTGCCCATTTTTTCATTATCCTTCTGCTCTTGTGATTTTGATTTGGATAAGGCCATACAGGAATAGGTCATTAGTGAGATTCTACTTGCAGTAATAAATATGTCAAAGGGAATAAAATTTAGATTTTTTACAATTGTAGACTGGCGTGAAGGACGGGCAATGCGATGCTGACTGGCACCGCTGTGTTGCTCTATTTGTACTATTCTGATTTTCACACTGTCGCTGCCAATTCCACTATCCTGAGCACCACTGTACCGAGATGAGGTTTCAGCCACGCCTCCATCAAATGTATCCATTTTTTTCTGCTCTTGTTTAGAGATCTGTAAGAAAAAAGTAATAAAATATTTCAAACTAGTTCCATGCCTGGTGTTACATAAACAACGTTATATAAACATACCATTAAAAAGAGAATGTTAAAAATAAATCTAGTATAACTTGAAAATAGAGATCATAAAAATAGAGGTAGTGCCTATTCCACCCCCCAAAAAAATTCCCCTTAAAATGTCAAGGGAATATTTGAGAAAAAGCATCTAATGTGCGTTTTCATCATTAAAATACACTTTTGAGTGCCAGACTTTATTTCTTTGGATTAATATAAAGTAGCACATATATATTTATTATTTTTATTTTTTGAGTCGGAGTCTCACTCTGTGGCCCAGGCTACAGTGCAGTGGCATGATCATGGCCACTGCAGCGTGGACATGCTGGGCTTAGGTGATCCTTCTACCTCAGCCTTCCAAGTAACTGGAATTACAGACACATGCCACCACGTCTAGCTAATTTTTTGATTTATTGTAGAAATGAGGTCTTGCCAAGTTGTCCAGGCTGATCTCGAGCCCCTCGGCTCAGGCAATCCTCTCGCTTCTGCCTCCCAAAGTGTTGGGATTACAGGAATGAGCTACCATGTCCAGCTTATTTTTAAAAATAGCTCTTTAAAAAATTATTTTATTAAGTATTTTTTACAGTAACTTTACAAGTAATACAATTTCCAAATCATGACTATTGGTGATTGAAATTATATTTTACATAGGAAGACTTTATATTATGTTGTTTATTCTTGTTATAAAACTGATTTATATAGGATTTTGGATAGTAAAAGAGGGAAAGTAGTCCTAAATTATGAAGGACAAAGAAAAATAAACTAAAATAAATGCATGCCATTTCAAAACATGTTTATTTTCTCCTACTACAATATGACTTGGAATAGGGTAAATATAAGTGAGCAAGTAAAAATCAAGTCAGTAAGTAAGTAATTAAAGCCCTTGAGGGTGGAATAAAGGCAATAAAGGATACTAGTTCTCAAACTTTTCCACCAATGACTTCTTATGTAGAGAAAAAAGAACAACTTGGTGGCTGCAGCAGTTATAATCAATCACTTGGCAGCACAACTCCAAGACCTTCAGTTCCCCTTTCTTGGACTGCCCACTCATCAGTTTGCAATTTGCTATTTGGCATCTAAGTATTTCACTTGTTTTTTCTACAGAATCATTAAAGTAACCATATAAAGTCCTTAAGATTACAAAGAAAAAAAAATCCTCCCCACCCCCATCTTATCACCAAACCTAACCAATGAGCATCCTTCAGTGCACTTCCTTTAGGTCTTCTTCCCGACCTCTGCATAGGTTCACCCTGCCTGTACTCCCTTGTGCATATAATCATACTACAGAGACAGACTGATAACCTATTTTTTTGACATGCTAATATGCTCTTCATAAATACAATTGCTAAAAGCTGCATATTTCATTTAGTGTTAGAAACAATTTGTTCAATCATTCCCATATAACTGGGTATTCAAGTTTACAAATTTTGCTGAGAAACATCTAGTAACATTTTTTTTTTAAACCACAGACCCCTACAAGTGGAATTACTAAGTCACGGTATGAAAAACTTTAAAGTCACTGAATACTTCCAAATACCTTTCCAAAAAGGCTGCACTAATTTACATTATTACCAGCAATGGAAAAATGTCCCCCCAAATTCTGGGTAATTGGGTATTGCTTATTATTTTTTTTGAACTCTTCCTTAACTTATTTTTTCCAAATCAAATAAAGGTCTTTTTCTTTTTTAATTTTCTATTTTGATTCAGGGTACACGTGCAGGTTTGTTACACAGAAATATTGCATGATGGTGAGGTTTGGGCTTCTACTGAGCTTGCCACCCAGGTGGTGAACATGGTACCCAGTGGGTAGTTTTCGGCCCATAGCCCTCTTACTTTCCTCCTGCTTTTAGGAGTGCCCCAGTGTTTGTTGTTCTCATACTTGTGCTGATGTGCATACTTAGTTCCTGCTTATTAGGGAGAACACATGGTATTGTTTTCGGTTTCAGTGATAAATTGCTCAGGATAATGGCCTCCAGCTGCATTCATGTTGCTGCAAAGGACATGATTTTGTTCTTTTTTATGTTTGCATAGTATTCCATGGTGTATATGTACCACATTTTCCTTATCCATTCCATCATTGATAGGCAGCTAGGTTGGTTCCCTGTTTTTGCTATTGTGGATAGTTCTGCGATAAACATGCGTGTACAGATGTCTTTTTGGTAGAGTCGATTGTGGTCCTTTAGATTTATACTCAGTAGTGGAATTGCTGTGTCAAGTGTCTACTTTTAGTTCTTTGTAAACACTTCCTTAATTTGACTAACAGAAAAGTATAATTTTACCACATGCCACAAAAATCGTTTTAAGCTGCTTTTCAGGGGCTCGCAGAGAAAGTGTTAAAAGAACTAATAAACAATTCAAGACAGTGATGTGTCATTAAAAATTTTCAAATAATATTTCTAGTTAATGGTTTCATAGTTGTTGAGGAAGACATGTTGTTAGACAAATCCAGCATTAGTTATTTGCAATAAAAACAATCTATCCCTCTCTTTTAAAAGTCACCATTTCTTTTAAATCATTCAGTCTATACTGTGCTCTTTCTCTGTCTGGAGTGCCCCTTTGAGCTTACTGTAGCTGACAAACATTTATTTATCCATCAAGACAAGTGATATTTGTCTGAGAATTGTTCTCTCACTCTTTTCCTTCTTGGTTATCTTAGTATTTGACTTACACTTCTACTGTAGGATGAATTATACTCTACTAAAATGGTCTGTGGTAAGAACATCAGACAGTGTTAAAACAATATACAGGCTTTGGATTCACACAGAAATGGGATCAAGTCCAACATTCTCTAATTGTATGACTGAACAAGTTACAAATCTCCCTAAGACTACATAATCCTATCTGTAAAATGGGGACAATAACTCCTACCTCAGAGAGTTGCTGGAGAATTCAATGAAGTAGTGCACCTAAAGAGGTCAGCACAGTGCCTGGCATGCAGTGAATACCCAATGAGGAGCAGCTGCTACGTGCCTGTCTCTTTTACCAGGTGAAGAACTGCTAGAGGGAATGGGCCATATTATTCTGTTTCACATGTCACTAAGCAGCAGGGCAGTGCCTGGTATACTGAAGAGGATCCATAAATGTTTGATGATATGTTTGTTTCTGATACACTGTAAATGAAAAAAATTGTCCTGCAAACTAGAATTATATGACTGTTAAAGTATAAATATACATGGATGAAGACTCTTCAATACTGTACTATTTAAGGTCTTCCCCACACATATTCATGGATCTTTATTGATCTGCATTCTCCATCTTGTGGGCTGATCACACTTCCAGCAGTCCTCTCAGTCTCTGCTGCATCCTGGTCGTCACATTGGGACATTAATATTCAACTCACAGGGTTGCCGTAGCATTAAACGAGTTAAATTAATGAACATACAGAGTGAGTACTCTAAAAAGGGTAAGTTAAAAAAAAGTCACCTTCTTTGTGAAGACTTCTGCAACCCTTCTTGGTGGTGCTAGTCCTTCCCACTTCTATGCTTTTATAATAAGCTAATATTATAGCACTTTTCACACTCTATTCTGTCTCAGAGATTGTAAACAATGGAAGAAAAAATAAGATACTATTATGTTTGTTATTTTCCAGCCATTGTTAGCACATTACACATATTTTCTTCATTAAGTGTTATAACCCTTTGTGAAGGAGTACTATATATCCGTTTCACAGCTGAAAAAACTGAGGCTTACAGAGATTGATCAGTACTTTCAAGGTCAGACAGCTTGCAGGCTTTGGATAAGCAGCAATACATGTTCATATTCCTAGAACATACCATACTGCTTATCACATAGTAAAGTGTCATGACTTTGTGCTGACTGAATAAATGAACAAATTAAAAAATTCAGTAAAATAAAAATAAAAGCAATCCTTACCAAAAGAACAGTTTAATTTTAGTTATCTTTATTATAAAAATTTCAAATATACCTCCAAATCCGTTACCAACTAGGAATTCTCAACACATGAAAAGTAATAAAATCAAGTATTTAAGTAGTTTAGGATTTACTGCCCACATTCTGAGGCATTACAAACTAATTATCTATATACTGTATAAATAAAAAATCCTTTAGGTTGAATTCCACGGCAAACTCCAGTAAAAAAACTCAAGCTTTATAAGTTATTTTTATTCTGTCAATCAGGAAACTCAATCACAATTAACTACATGAGACTACAGTTTCTATGCATAGAGCATTTTCTACTTCTGATTTACAGATTTATACTTAAAATCAAGTCTCTCCCTCTTTAAAGTGAATTAAGCATTTCCATGGGTGTTAACATAACAACAAAAAAAAAAACCTACAGGGAAAGGTAAATAAATTTAGCATCTAGCCTTATTATGTGTTGAGAATGCCACATTAGACTCCAGCAAATGTCAAGTGGTGTGATTTTGAGATATAAATAACCAGCAGGGGCAGGATGGCAGCTATCAGCTCAGGTCACGCAGCTTATTGAACAGAAGTCAGATAGTAACTAATTCTAATCACTACTGAGCAGAATGGAATTTGAACCAATGACCCAGAGATGAAAGACGGACTCTCATTGGAAGGGGGGAAAAAAACCCCTACAAGTTACCTAGTACTAGAAAACTAAATTCTTAAGCCAAGATTTCTTCCATTTTTCTAAGCTTCTAAACTATTTGTAGCTCCGAAATAAATAACTTGATGATTTTGAGACATATTTAAAAATCCACTGGTTTGTCACCAGTCCACGCAGATTTATTACACCAAAGAGTATCTGGTCTGTTACTGAGAAAAGTTTTACAATTAATTATGTGTGCTGAGCCCTAATCTCGGGCATCAATTTACCATTCTTTTGTGGAAAATGAAAAGTTCACAATATAATAACTGAAAATAACTTTTGCTTTATTATTGTCCAAGGGGACTAATAATTTAAGTTGTCAAAAATAGCAGTATCTGCTTGCTGTTAGTGCAGCAGAAACATGT